CACACACACTGCACACACACACCACACAAGCACACACACTGCGCATACACACTGCACACACACCACACAAGCACATACACTGTACGCACACTGCACACACACCACACAAGCACACACACTGCACACACACACTGCGCATACACACCACACAAGCACACACATTGCGCACATACCATATGCACACACACTGCACACATACCACACAAGCACACACACTGTGCACACTGCACACACATGCACACTCACATATCACACGTGCACACCTCCACACCCAGCTGCAGCTGGGTGAGCGGCATCTTAGCATGCCCCAGCCGCTGGCCACAGCCACGGGCTGGTTCTACCCACACAGTTTGGGGGCTTCAGAAACTTCTGGAGAGGCCTTCTCCCAGGCTAGGCTCCGCTGTCTCCGCTGGAGGATGACCACAGCTGCCCTCGCCTCTTTCCCAGGCTTATAGAGTGTCTGGAAACATCTGGAAGGGGCCAGGGCCAAGGCATGAAGCTAGGTTCTATGCCTAGGAAAGGAAGGAGCCGGCGGCGGTGGGACGGACACGCGAGGACCTGCCGTGTGCCACCGCCTGCCGTCCGCAGGGGCTGGGGCTGGACCGCAGCAGCCCGGCCCGGCCTCGCTGGCTCTCAGCTGCTACAAGGGACCCAGCTCCCAGGCCCTGGCTCCAGAAGCGGAGGCTGAGCTGTCCTCCCCTCTGCCAGGCCTCCGCGCTGGCTTGGGGCTCAGCGCCAGCAAACAAAGCCTGCCGCGCTGTAGAGAAGCACAAACGCCATCTGTCATCGGGGAGTTAAGGCACGCTAATCTAAACACGGCCCGAGACCGTCCCTCCAGCTCATGCGCACACAGCACAGGACGCGGGCTGGCCCCTGCTCCCGCCTCCCCTCCCAGGGCCGCAGCCGCCAGGGACCACGCTGTCCACACCAACACCCCCCGCCCCCTGCACAGCTGTTTCCTCGGCACCTGCTACATGCCCGTGGCTTAGACAGATTCGGCAAACAAGGGCCCACACGGCCCAGCCTCAGGGAGCCCGCACACAGCCTGGTAACGTGAAATACTCACAGGAGCATAAAATGACAATTACACAACCCAACCCAGGAAGCTTGGGTGGGTGTGAAAGAGGATTTGATGGTGACAGGAAACAGAGGGTGGATTTCAGTGAAGACTGAGGGATGAGGAGAAGCCAGGAGAGGAGGAGCTGGAGGAACTAGCAGCATGTGCAAAGGGCCTGGGGTAGGAGGAGCAGGGGAGGGTACGCAGGTGGGATTTGCTCATATAGGCTCACGGAACCTGACTCCCACCATGGGCCGACGACCCTGGAGTCCTGCCAAGGCTGGAGTTTATACCACAAGAACGGTTTTGCCAGTGTGCGGCCTGGAAGGTTCCCTGTGTGGCTAGGGAGAAAGAGGAGGGCTGCAGGGAAGGCAGGCCCTGAGCCTGGAGGGAACCTGGAAGGCCGGGCCAGCACCCAGCTCAGGGACAAGGCAGGAGGCAGAGTGCTGAATGCTAAGTGAACCCAGCCAGTGTCACCTCAGGCCAGAGACAAGTGAGCCCTTCCCAGCCAAGGTCCACATACAGCCGTACAGCCGGGGTCTGCAGACTCTGCTGCTTCCCCTGCCAGCCTCCCGCCCACCCCTGACTCTGGGGACGATCCCAAGCGAACCCACACCCACACTTCTGTCTGACCATCGCAGCTCCGTCCCGCCTGGCCCAGCTCAGGGTCCCAGGCCCAGTACGCTGACAACCCTCAACCCCATCACCAACAAAATATTTACAGCCAGGCACCCTTGGCTCACACCTGTAATCCCAGCTACTGAGAAGGCTGAGACCTGAAGATCCTCAGACCGGAGACTCTGATCTCCTGTTAAACCACCAAAAAGCCCCATGTGGAGCTGTGGCTCAAGAGGTAGAGCACCAGCTGTGAGCAGAATGAAAACATGAGGACCTGAGATCAAGCCCCAGTGCTAGTATGTACACACACACACACACACACACACACACACACACACACACACACACACATTTTCTAGGACCCAAAGAACCTGCCTTGGACAATGCAAGAGCTAGTGGGGTGATGTCATGTTGTCATAACAGCCTGTGGGGGGGGGCGCTGGGCAGGGCTGGGGAAGGCGGGCTTGGGACAGGCCCTGTCCCCGGGGCTTACCTCCGTCACCTGCTGCTTGTCCAGATGGAACACCTGCCCGGAGCTGGTGGAGGCGATCTCCTCGAACGCCAGGTAGCCGGGATGGGAGCGGTCACCACAGTCTCCGGTCAGCACGAAAACCACCTGCAGAGCGCAGCCTGGCTCACTGCCAGCCCACGGCAGAGCGCCTGCCAGGATCAGGAGGCCCGGGGAGACCCTGGTCGACCGATCACCCACCGCTGTGGGGTGACCAGAGGCCTCTCCTGAGCATCAGCCCACGGGTGCCCATGTGCAGGGCCCGGGGAGCAGCAGGTGCTCAATAAACGGGTTGAGATCTACAGTACAGAAGGGCAGAGCTGGATGCTGGAGGCTCATGTATGTCATCCTCGCTACTGGAGGCTGAGGTCTGAAGACTGAGCTTCAAAGCCAGCCTGGGCAGACTCTGATCTCCAATTAGCCAGCAAAAAGCTAGAAGTAGACCTGTGGCTCAAGTAATAGAGTACCAGCTTTGAGAGAGAGAAAAAAAACACCTCAAGGACAGCGCCCAAGCCCTGAGTTTAAGACCCAGTGCTGGAGAAAAGGAAAGCTGACTTGTGGGCTGGGATGTAGCTCAGTGGCAAAGCGCTTGCCTAGCAAGTGCAATGTCCTGGGTTCGATCCCCAGTACCAAAAAAGAAAAGACAAAAAAAAAACAGTTAAAAAAAACCCCAAACAAGAAAAGCTGACTTGTTTAGGAAGGGCCTGTGGGGAAGGGGGTGCAATTTGAAGAATTTTGGGGAATCCTGGGCGCTGTAGACAAGTGAGTCCAGGCTGTCTGGGAGCGGAAGGCCGGCCCCTGCCTCTGAGGCCTGGAGTCAGGGCTGCTGGGTGGGAGGGAGAACCCCCCCCACTGTGTCCTGGGGACCCAGCATGGCTGCCCGCGCACCTGCGATTGCTTCCTCTGGAGGAGGTGCAGCAGCCCGTCCTTCTTGTGGTAGTCCTTGGCCCGGGCGTCGGAAAACACATAGATGAAGGAGCGGGGGTTGGACACCTCCACGGCGGCCTTGATGGCGCCCACGCTCATCTCAGGACAGTCGCCCCCTCCCTGCAGGGCAGACAGGTGTCAGGAGCTACAGAGACAGGCCTGGGAGCCCCGAGCCAGCCGGCCTCTCGCTCCAGCCAGGGGGTGGGGGGATGGCCTGGGAGGAGTGAGGCTGAGGAGCTAAAGGTCCCGGGGCGGGGCAGGGTGGGGGCGCTCACCTCCCCAGCCCCCCCTGCCCAGGGCACACTGGGCGGGCACCCTGTGGTTATCACCTAACTCAGGTTTGTTCTCCTGGGGCAGGATTCACACCCTCCACCTCCGAGAGTTGTTTCCTTCCTGACTCCCCATCCCGTCCCCGGGGTCCCCGTCCCTGGGCAGCCGGCCATCTCCGCGCTGGACCGTGGGGTTGGAGGTCATGGAGGAGTCCAGCTGGGCTGTGACCAGGTGAGCCGGGCTCTGGCCTGGCTTTGGAGGCCCTGAACCCCGCGGTTCCCCCCTTTCCCTGACACCACATATGACTTCATCCAGGGTCCATCACCTGCCCTTCAGCCCCTTGCTCAATCACAAGCACTGTCTATGGGCCAGGCTGGGGCTCCAGGTTCCTGGTGCCCCAGTGTGTGTGTGTGGGGGGGGGACAGGGGACTGAGAGCGGGAACATCAACTTGGTCTCTGGGTGGGGGAACATCAAGACCTAAGAGGAGGGTAGACACTGGGGCGGGGCCCACCTGCACGTAGAGATCCCTCAGCTCTCTCTGAAACACCGCTGGGTCCGCCGTGAGCGTGACTGGGCCGATATCTGAGGGAGAGACAGAAAAATGAGAGAGAGAGAGAAAGGGAGAGAGAGACAGAGAGAGACCCAATGGTCTGGGTCCAGCCCCGGGCTCTAGGAAAGCGCAGCATGTGGGCTGAGGGTTAATCCTCCCCCCCAACAGAAGCCCCAAACTCACGACTCACCGTCTCCAAAGGACCCCCCTCGCCCCACCCCACCCCCACGCTCCCACCTTCCGTGAGAAAGGAATTCTGGGAGTACAAGGAAAGCAGAGAGAGCAACGCACGATCAGTTCTGGACACACAGCAAACGCCCAGCGCCAGGCTGATCGACAGGAGCGAGGCCTTCCAGAAATCTCCGCCCCGGCTCCCCCCCAGCCCCCCCCACCGGTGCGCCCACACCGTCCAGAGGAGCAGCCGGGAGACCGGGCGCCCGCGAGGGCGCTGCAGATGGGGAATGACTAGACACGAGGCCCACCCAGCGCGGGGGCAAACACAGCCTCCTTGAAAGGCCGTGGAAGTTTCTAGACGGTCAAGCGAGCGGCCACCACGGGACGTCGGCACTCCACCCGCGGGCAGTGGGCAGGAGGACGGGCAACACAGCCCCACCAAAGCGGCTGCTCGTGGCCCAGTGCTGGTGGTCACGCTTGTAATCCCGGCTGATCTCAGGATCAGGGTTCAAACCCAGCCTGGGCAGGGGCGTCTGCAGTGGGCTCACCCCGGCCTGTCTAAGGCTCGGCCCTGCCTGGCCCCGGCTGCTCCAAGGCGCTCCGGGGAAACCAGGCGGGAAATCCA